TCAGAAGTTTAAATAACCTGAGGAGAGAACATTTTTGCTTCTGTCAGTTAATTTACTAACTGAAAGTCACTAATACTGTATTAGAAATATAGTACTAGCTTGGTAAAATTTGTGAACGTGAATAAAACGTGAACCATGGAATAAATTACACATTTGGTTTATAAGAAGCCTGTGAATAAGGTTCTTGTACTTGGCAAGCAGCAATAAAGTAGCATATTGTTCAAAGAAGGGTGTGCATTTAGGATAGAGTAGAAGTGAAAATTGAATAACTGGCTTTTTGGTAAGGAAGTATATGTTATATCTATGTCAACTGAGTAAGTGAAAAGGATTATACACATGTGTGCAATACACAACGTGAATAAGGTAACGAAAATAGAAGTCAGTAAAATAACCTTTTTATATTGCAAATTATTAGACACTTTCAAATTTTGTACTTCTTTTCCCTCTTTTATCTGCTTCATTCTCACTCTTATCTTCTCCTCTATTTTACCATTCTCACTGCCTGCCCTCATTTCCATCTAATACATTAAAATTCCACACAATATCATATACACAATTGTTTCCCACACTTTGTGTTCAATGCAGAGTCCACTATCTCAGAGGACATTTCAGTGATGCCATTAATGCACTAAATTGATGTGCAGTTTTCAAACTTGTGTCAAATTTTTGAAAAAGATTGTGTGTGTGTGTGTGTGTGTGTGTGTACACATCTACTCTGTGCCAGTTATCAATTTGTTAGCTCTTACATTATATCAACCCTCCTTGCCTGCTCTGTTAAAATGAAGGTGAGCCCTTTAAATATCTTTTTTAAAACTTTATTAGCTAAAATTTTGTTAAATTTTGTCAGTAGAGGACAAATGAAAAAAATAATTGAAGGGAAAAAAACTTTCCTTTACGTATATTTGCTCAACAGGCTTCTGCAATATATGCAGCTTCCTTAGTTCCAGGTTCTTGCAGCATGGGTAGCTAGTCTAGTGCTAGAATTCTACATCATTCACAGTTTGTCCAGCACCTGGCTCCTGCACTGTAGCTTCTCTAATATTCAGCCTCTGGAGAGTACACTGCATCCCTGGTGCAGAGATCCTGAAGTGTAGGTGAGTTCTTCAGTGGTCAGCTTTAAAACATGGGTAGTTTCTCCAGTGTCATCCCCTGCAGTTTGAGAAGTTTCTCTAAAGAATCAAGGTGCTGGAGCCCTGGAGGAGCTGTTTCTGCAGTGTCAAGTTCCTGTAATGCACAGAGATCACCTGCCAGCAGCTTTCCCCAGTGTTTCTTTGTAGGAGAGTGCTTCAATAAACTTCTATCTGTGAACATTTCTGCCTAGGACTTCTAAGAACAGATTTTCAGCAAATTCCAGAAAATTTCAGAGATAATATATCTAGCAAACTCCACCAATTTGGACACCACAGAGACCTTGCTGACATTCAATGAACCAGGTTATATGTCCTTCCCACAATGTCTCTGTCTCAGCTGTGGGGTGTGTGGAGAGGAGTGGTCGTCTTTATCTCAGCTCCTTGTATTCATATAGTCTTTAGAATTCCTCTTTCTTTTTTTAAAAACTAATTCTAATGAAAGTTTACAGAGACTTAGGGTTTCCAGTCATTCATTGCTGCACTTTTCTCCCTTCCCACTCCCCTCCCCCAATTTGGTCTTCTCTTTGAAAAGCAAAAGAAAAATTCTCTCATTGTTATACAATCCCTCCCCCTAAGTCCACTCCACTGTGAAGCCTTCATTCTGGACTTCTGTCATGACAAAAACACCTAATCATATATCCCTTTTAAACAGTTCTCTCCCCCATCTGTTTCAATGCACTATACATTATTTATCCCCTCTTTCTCAGTCTTCCCTGTATCCCAATATCAGTACCATTTTACAACAGTGGCCCTATGCAGTATTTGTCATTTTCACTCAGCATAAAGTCCTTCAGGGTCATGCATTTTGTATAACATTTCATGAGTTCCTTATTTTTCAATGCAGCATAGTATTCCATTGTATGAATATACCACAGCTTCTCTATCCATTCATTTGTTGATGAGCACTTGGGTTGTTTCCAGCTCTTTACTATTGCAAACAAAGCCACAATAAACATGGGGGGATGGATAGATAGATAGATAGATAGATAGATAGATAGATAGATAGATAGATGCTTAGGTGGAAGTTATGGGTTTTAGGGTATATTCCCAGTAGTGGCATTGATGGGTCAAATGGTATTTTTATTTGCAACTTTTTGAGAAAGGGCCATACAGATTTCCATGGTGGTTGCACCATTTTACACCCCCATCAACAGTCAATAAGGGTTCCAGGTTCTCCACAACCTCGCCAGCATTTGATGTTTGCTGTTCTGTTAAATTTTGCTATTCTTACTGGGGTTAGATGATATGTTATAGTTGTGAATTCCTCTTTATTTCTTACTAGTTCTTCCTGTCTTACTAAAATCCTAGTACACTTTTTCTAGTAATTCTTGATACTGCATTATTTTCCTGTTCACATCACTGAGGGTAGTGTCTATGCCCAGATTATGTGCTGACTGACCCAGATCCTTTTATATATTTAAATTAACAGTTAAAATTTCTTATCAAAAATTTAAAAATTTCAAAAGATTAATAGACCCATAAACAGCCCAGTGGAAGGAGGGAGGTGTATGCTTCAACTTTATTGGTGGCAAAATATTAGTGTTACATAGATCATTTAATGAATGATATCCACCATAGTATCTAATTTGCAGACCCAGTTCTCACTGTCAAATAAACTGATCAATTCAGATTTACCTAATGTGAAAAAACAAACAAAAAAAAAAAACACACACACACACACACACAAAAAAAACCCTCCAACCTTTATAAATTCAAATGAACATACTGATTCATGTTTTCAGGGCACTCTTCTCACCTAGGCTGACAGAAAGAACAGCAGATAGATATGAATCCTGCCAAGAGCTCTGCCAAGATGAAATACTATTTCAACATTTTTTGTCAATATTTTCTTTGCCTTACTTTCACAGGTCTCTCTTTCAGAAGCAATGCCTCCCCAAACTGTCATTTTTTTGATGTCATGAAGATTTTATCCCAAAGCAATAAATCAATGTAAGATTTGTGATGGGTGAAAGGTATGACATCTTCTGTAAAGCAGAAGAGCAATTATGAGAGAGGGTTGGGAATGAAGCAGCAGCAGACCACAAACTCTTTCCCAGACATCTCAATTTCAGGAGAACACACATATATATGCTAAGAATCACAGAAGAGATTCCCTCAAACTATCCACGCCTAGTGCCTCTGGACCCTCAGAGTCCAAGTATTCCAGTGCGAGGACAGCTGGAGCAGGAATCCCCCCATCCCAAACAGACAAAATCAAATAAAGAGAAATTAATAGGTTTTGTTTGGGGTTTGGTGTGTTGTTGTGTTTTTTAAAAAAAAAAAGGAAATCAGAATAAAAATAATGAGTCATAGTCTCTTAAAAGTCAGAAAATAAAGGCTTTCTTTTCAAAACTGCTAAAAGAAATAGAAGCAATATTACATCAAGTGTAAAATCAGACTTCCAACGAAGACCTATGTTTGGACAAAGGTCTTGCTTTTAGGATTTAGATTCAAAATCTCACATGAGTTAAACTGTTCATTTGTAGTTGTTCTGTTTCTTATTTAAAACAATAAGTTTTCCTTATATCCACCACTTGAATGAATCACATGGTAGGCAAAGAAATGGAGAATCTTAAATAAAAAGTAAAGGGGATGTGGCCAATTTTTACCATTTGGGATATTAACAAGTTTAACATGGCTCAGCAACTATCTTAAGTGTTACATCAACTATTATGACACAAGCTAAAGGTGTTGAAATATAATGACGTGTGTTTTCTAAGAGGAAATGGGTGACAATTTGAAGGGTCGGTTTTTAACATGAAGAAAAAATTCATCTGAATTCAGAACAGATTCTCAGCTAACACTAATGTGCAGTAAGATTTACGCAATTTAAGAAATGTTTTTAAACTTTAAAAAAATTCTTTGCAAGGAAACTACTGCTTCCTGTTATTCCTGGAAAATCTATAAATGCTAGTTTTTTAAAGAGAAACATGTATGAAGAGATATTAAATGTGTTTTACAAGCATAAGCATCAGATTCTGGTTTATTCATTTCAACCAAGAAACTGTAATTTTGTTTTATATAAATGATATGTACTCACAATTAAAGTTTGCCTTTTAATTCCTCCAAATCAAGCTCCTCATGAAAAGATGGTGCTGCTAGAATGTTCCCATCTAAATAAACCTTTTTTTAAAATCAGTAACATACTGTCAGAATTAACCAATTTGGTAAAAAAATGTTTATGCTGTCCATTTTAACTATTGAGATCTTTAAAATAAATATTATTAATGGTTGCAAAAGCTGTTAGGGGGAAGATACTCCACTGAAATCCCAAAGGCACACAGTTTGAGGCCACCAACCATTGTGTGGGAGAAAGATGGGCAATCTCCACCCATGAGATTAACTGCCTCTGAAAATTTGGCAGTGAGTCAGCTATGAATCCATTCCAACTATACTACACAACAACAAATGTCTAAATACTTGTTTTCATTATCATTTTACTTTTGCTAAAGATATTGCCCTTCATTTCAGAAAAAAAAGAAATACACTCTTCAGTGGAAATTATTCAGTCTGAAGTTTACACATCAAGAGCTTTCATTGTTTCAGTATGCAATAACTTTGAGTCCACTGCAAGAAAGTACACTATTTGAATAATACCTCAATTCACCCAAATCTCCTTCATGGCTTCATTAAGCACCAAGATTCTTGATATGGACAACTTAACACGGAGTATTTTAAAGACCCAAATAGTGCAAAGTCTTTGAGGCAACCAACTGCTCATCTGCCATGAAAGTCAAGAATTAATTTTATGAGGAGTAGATAGAAAATTTTTTTAAGCGTAGCACTGAGAAAATTTTAACATAAACAAGCAATAACTAGTCTGTTGCTACTCTATAATATAACCACATCCCAGGTATCTAACACACTTACTTGAACAATGGTGTTCCACAAACAACGCATTTATATATTCCAGGATCTTTGTGATGCGTGTATTCTCCTTCAAAGGCACTGATAAATAACAAAGAGTATATATTTAAAAATTAAACAACATTAATATAATTTCTTGTAGAATTCATAAACTAAAACGTTGGTTTTCTAATAAGGTTTTTTGTCCTAAAGTGGGGATAGACCAAACATGAAAATTGGAATATAACTAATATATTTCATATCCATATAATAAAATATGCATGACACTATGGCAAACTAGCACAGGTTAAACAAAAATCTAAAAAAAATCAAGCCACATAGTTATGTAACGCATAGAAAAAAAAATCTTCCTATTTAAAAAAATGCCTTTAGTTTTGATTTGCAATGAAACAACATTATTGCGTAAGATTTCTGCTACTCTATAGTTTCCGAGAGAGAGAGAGAGAGAGAGAGAATGTGTGTGTGTGTATCAGAAAATGCAGAGGGGTCCAATACTTCAAGTGGAATAAGTTTTATTTTTTGGTTTGAAAAGGAATATTGCAGCTTTAAGGGAATATTTTTCTAAGTTAACAATCTTAAAGGCTAGGAGGTCATTCAGCTAATACAAATCAGCTGTGCTCGCCCAACAAAAAGTCTATGTGCTCTGCAGCTTGTTTTTATTATCCTTTCACCCTCTTTATGAGGTCCAATTTTTTTATAAACAGAATTTTTAAGAATGACCTAATCTCTCTGCTTGTTTGTGTGCATTAAATCATTTTTCTGGTCATGTATACAACCGGACAAGCAGAGGTCCTCCTGAGCTGAAACTGAAGTCTACCACTAGTTCATTGTGTAGTGAGGACAGACTTTGTCAGAGATTCAACATTTGGGAAATTCAGTAAACAGTATACACTATGGCAGGAAGAGAGTGCTGCCTATTTAACAGGGACCCCATGTGTGGTAAAGAGCTCTTTCAATTCATGAATGAAAACAAGAAGTTACATCATTAATAAATTTGGATCAGAGGTAAGTTACTGACTATGTGCCAAGCTCCATGGTATAACTTAGACAACAAAATGGTTGGACTTTGGCAAGTTACCTCTGAGCTGGAATCAGCTGAGAGAGACTTTATTCACTAAAACCAGTCGTGGAAGTGAACAAACTCTTTTTTCAGGATTTAGGGCGAACTTCCAAGGACTAAAGCCATGTGAGGGCAGTTATTGAAAATTTTTGACATTCCAACCACAAATGAGCCAATAAATACTTTCTCCACATGTGCTTCAAAAAGAAATTGGAGTGGGGTGGAAAAGGAACTAAATTATGCTACCTTCTTTTTGCAGCCAAAACGTCTATCCTTACAATGACCACCTTCAAAATTTCAGCATCCTGGCACAGTGCCATGTCCCTCATGGTGCTGCTTACTGTGATGTCTTCCCAAAAAATGTACCTAAATCGCTATTACTTCCACACATTTTGTAGTAAACTAAAAGCAGGCCCTTAACCAAAGCTTTGTGACTTTACCTAAGATAGAGTGTTCATTAAATGGGGAAAAGAATAAATAAAATTTAGTCTTGATCTAAACAATGCCATTTTCAAGGTTATTAATTTGTAAATGTTTGCAAATTAAATTTAGAAGCCTTTCAATTGACAAGGAGGTTTCCAATAGGAAGGAGGGGGTGAAGAAGACTGACTCATTTAATGACTTTTTCTTACAGCTCATCTTACCTTTCTGTCCCTTTCTCCTGAGTGACATGGTACTGCAGGGGTGTTAGCCGCTTCCTCAGTTCCTGCTGAGAAAAGACCACCTTACAGTTCTTTTTATCCCTACATGACCCTGAAAAGAGAGAGGATATGGGAGAAGGAGGCTTTTTAGCTTGAATCCTGAATAATTGCTTTGGCTCGCAGCCACAGCACAGCTTCTGCATTCACTTGTCAATGACCAGACCAGTCCCTAATGCACAAGAAAAGCTTACCTGCACTGCAACTCACTATTTCTCTACATTTAAAAGGAATGCTTCTTATGACCCAAGTTCCCACTGCAACAATGACAATACATTACGGCCAAAGATGCTCTAGCATGTGATACTGAAAGCTCACTGAACATTCACAACATGGTAACACATCTTTTATGTCTTCCAGTGCATCCAGAAATTCTTTTTCTTCAAGTGAATTCAGCAGCATAAATCCACAAGCACTATTTACACACATATACATACACATATATAAGATGCTGGGCATATGATATTAAACCAAAACTCTGCATTCAATAATTTTTCAAGGTGGTAGACAAGCTTACAACCTCCATCATTCAGTTTTCATCCTGGGTGATTTAACTGTCATTCTATTTATTTTTATTTGCACCCTAAAAAATGTATTTTCCCACGACTAGGAATTGCTGCTGTCTGTGATTCTGTCAGACACTTCACTAGGTTATATAGAGTTCTTAAAAACAAATGTCTCTTTAAAGACTATATCTGCATGTAAACCATGCAGCAAAGTTGAGTGAACTAAGCTACCCATCTGTATGTCATTTAGTACAAGAGAAGCAACTGCAGGTTTAAATTACATGGTATTGGATTGCAATTTCCTAACATTGGATGCTTTTCTGCTTTTTTACCTTGAGTCATTTAGACTATACGAGAAGATATTTCCAATAATGCAGATTCAAGAAGTTCTCCCCAAAAAGGGTGAGAAAAATATAGAATGGGGGCGGAGGGAACAAAGAGAAGAGAAAAAGCGCATGTGATTTTATTTAGAAACTACTTTTGTGACCTTATTTAGAAAACTTTTATTTTTGCAAAATAGCTGAGAAGACTTCACTGATTAAGTTTATTTGAATAGTGAAATAATTTTAATATGATTCTAATAACAATGGTAGCTTTTATTTCAACCTATGCCGACTGCAGTAAAATGTTCAGACAACACCTGTTTATATATAGTATTTTATTTTACCTGCACAAATGATTGAAAACAAATATAACTCTGGGGCACTGCAGCCATTACTCACTGCAGTGAAATTGCTTTTCTTTGCCATCCATCACGCTGGGAAAGAGGCTTGCAGATGGTCCTAAATGAAAAGATTTCAGACCATGTTTTCAAGTAGGAACTAAAAGAAATCTCGCTTAGTTTCCTGAATATTAAGCTCAACTTCTTTTGAAATATAAATAAGTATGATTTATGAGTGGAAATGCTTTCTACTTCTTTATGTTCAAAGTGCCTAATGTCATATATAGTATGTGAGGGCACTGAAATTAACCTGGGGGAGGGGGGTGAGTAACTAACCAGTTACCCTGATTGTAAGATATCACCTTCCAGAACCAAGGCCACCAAGATAGAGTGGTTAATTCTCTATGAAAAAAATCTGGAGGCAAGAAAAAGGCACTCCAGAACTGAGCAACCATATACAGAGCGGGCCTGCAGGTTGTCACACAGTGCTTCTCTTGACCAGTACTACCATGTACCACGGCCCAGGTCTGTACTGGGAAGATGTACAAGAACAGGTGACATTTCACTAGTGTTATATTGGTCTCATTTCACTGGATCACATATTACACGAGGCTATATTAAAAAAAAAAAGACAACACCAAAACTCTTAATAGGAGCTAGATGGAAATGTTTCCTATAAGAACAAGTATTTTATCAGTTGAAATACAATGTTGTTTCTCAAGGAAGTTAGGTAAGTGAGGTTTTTGTTCAATTCACTGTCAATGAAGTTATTTAATTTTGTCACAGGGATTAATCTTTTTTAATTTTATCAAAGAAAGCCATTACCTGTAAATTTAATGTGACAAAATATCTTTATAAAATTATCCTTTCCAATGGCATAGATAATTAAAATCTGCACCCTTCTATGATTCTGACCAAGATATTTTTGTTAATATATGTTCATTCATACAAAAAGACCAATTGTATTCCCAAAGTTGAGAGAACTAAGCTACCCATCTGTATGTCATTTAGTACAAGAGAAAGCAACTGCAGGTTTAAATTACATGGTATTGGATTGCAATTTCCTAACATTGGATGCTTTTCTGCTTTTTTACCTTGAGTCATTTACTAAGGAGTGTTCATAAAAAGTAGCTTAAAGCACAGATGCTTGCAAATCATTTAGGCAAAGATGTTTCTCTCTTTTTCATTCTCTCTCTCAAAAATCTCTTTTTTTTAAGAAAAAGAATAAAACTGTTGGTCAGTATTGGTGAACCATGTCAAGTTTTTGTGCAAGGAAAAAAGGTAAAATTGAAAACATCTGATTGAAGTAAATAATACAAACATAAAAGCATTGCTGGTGAATGAAGGGTATTGAAGAGACTTTATTTCATAGATTAGAAATTACTTTTGATCTAAACATTCTTAAAAACAGATTGTTTTCCACTATGAGCCATCTCATTAGCTGCTCCAGAGACCTCACTTTAATGGCGAGCTTTGAAAGAGTGCTGCTGTACCACCCCTTTGTTAGTCTCCATCTTATTTGGGAGGGGGATAAAGATTTCAGTCCAGCTTTCTTTGTTTGTCTTTCAAGAACCACTAAAGCAGTATTCACACAAATTTTGTAGGAATGTGCCCTATGTCATAGCCTACAAATTATTTGGTTTTGGTGCACTTAAAGGTCATCTTTCCAAATTAGCAAAATTTTCCTACATCCTGGCTTTTCAACCTTAAATATAAATATTGTTTCCTAACTGTAAGTGAGGTTTCTTCTTTAAAAAATTCTAGTGCTTATTTAAAGTTGTCAGACTTTGTACATTTTATTCTTTGACCATGCTGTGCTTTCATAATAATTAGGCTTTTAAAGTGAACCTAACAGCAAAAGGAAATATATGTAGACCAGAAACAATTATTGTGATTTTATATTAAACAACTTAATGAGAAGTTAGTCAGATTTTAGCAAATCTCTTGCCACATAGTTAAATAATAATATACTTCCTGGACAATCGAAAGCTATATGATTACATTAGCTCTTCTAGTGTCATAACCAAAAATTGGTGTATATATAAACATAGAAAAACTTCACTTTTGCCTGATTTCCCTTCCTCTCAAAAGATCACTTTTCTAAAGTCATAGAGTGCCATGGTTAATTCTGAAGAAATCATTGTATTTTGATATTTTAGAAAAATTCACTAGATCAGTTTTCATGACTATCTTCATGGAGGTACTGTAATTTTCTTATTGCACAGGATAATTTCATATTAGTCTTATACAGCATCTGTTCAATGACCTCTAAATTGACTTGGAAAAGACTGTTATTTAAATGTTTAAGACTGTACTTTGAAAGCACACGAGTGTAAGAGAGAGTGTGTGTGTGTGTGTGTGTGTGTCTCTATATATACACAATGCACAGAATATTTAAGGGAGTAAATAACATTGCCATTTTGGTATCTAAACATAACACCATTTTCTAAATTTCACATATATCAGATCCATCTTGACCCTATCCCAAAGGTATTTTTAACTAAAATTTGTCCAATGTCTTATAATGAATGTTGTTTCCAAGGCTAGTATCGTTTCAAACCAGTAAAAACAGAAGTTATAAGAGTTCACTTCCCAGCTCTACATACTTCCTAGTAGTGTAAACTTAGGTAAATGGACCTGTTAAAAAAGCTGCACTGCAATCCCAAAGGCACACAGTTCTAGTTCACCAGCCTCTCCACAACAAAAGAACAGGCAATCTTCTGTTGGATTAGCTGCCTCTGAAAACCCGTAGAAGGGTCAGCTATGGGTTAATTCTGACTAAGAAACAACACAGATATGTTGTAAATATCAAAGCAATTAGCATTTCTCAAACTCTGTTGGAATTAATGTGTCACACTATCATTCTGAATATAGTGAATTCTGAAGTCAACCTATTTTAAAATGTACTAGGCCAGGTGTTTCAATGTGTCACAACATTTTATTGGCAACTTGTTTCTGTTGTGGTTTTCAAGAGCTTTTGAGTCAATTAAGACAATGAACAACAGCCATGAATCCTATCCTATCCTGTGTCGTCTTCAATCATCTCTGGTACACTTGAGACCATTTCTGCCGTCACTATGTCAATCCACCTCACTGGGAGTCTCTCTCCTTCACTGACCCTCCACCTTTCTAAGAACAATATTCCTTTTCCCAGGAATAGCCTCTCTTAGCAACATGTCCAAAGTATGACTGACTAAGATTCACCATTCTTGCTTCCAAGAAGCACTCTGCACCTTTTCCAAGACATATCTGTTTGCTCTTCTGGCAGTGTACTGGTTTTCCATAATAGTTCCTTCAAGTAGTATTTTTCTCACAAATTATCTTTTTTAGATTGTTAAAACAGGAATCTAAGGAAGAAAACTAAAACTGAGTACCTTATTTATCTTGCCTATTTCAAGTCACTTTCACATAATCATTTTCTAAATTCTCTCAATAAGTCCATGAGGTATCTTTTATTAAACCCACTTTAAGGTATTCTAGTGAGAAAGGAGTTGCACTGTTAACCCAAAAAGCTAGGAGTGGTTTAACCACCTGCTGCTCCACTTGAGAAAGATAGGCAATCACCTCCTGCATGATGTAGAGCCTCTGAAAAAATGCTAGAGGGTCAGCTAGGAGTCGATTCCGACTTGATGGTAATGAGCTGAGCTTACAGATTCAGGAACTGAGGCTCAGATAAGTCATAACACAATTTACCTAAAGAGAAATAGCAAATATTTCTATCAACTTCAACCCTAGGGGTCTTTGACTACAAAGTTCATGATCATTACAACTTCTGTGAAGAAAAACTTACGCTAAAACTTGGAAACAGCTTGAGCAGTTGCACTTTCAAGAATAAACCTCTATCCTACAGGGTCACTACGAGTCAGAACAATTACAGTGGTTATAAAT